GCAGGAGACAAGCAGAATCGCAGCAGCACGGGTGGCTACATTTTCACTCTTGGCGGAGCTGCTATTTCATGGGCAAGTCAGAGGATCAGGTGCATCACCCACTCTTCTACAGAGTCGGAGTACATCGCTGCAGTGGAGGCTGGAAAGGAGGCTCAAAAGCTTCGTTTTCTGATGGCAGAATTTCGCATGCTCGACGAGACGTCACCAACGATTATCCACGTCGACAACCAATCTGCGATTTCTGTGTCAGAAGGCATGGGGCTGAAGGGGAAGCTGAAACACATGGAGCGGCGCTACATGTGGCTGCAGAGCATGGTGAAACGCCGCAAACTGAAGCTGCAGTATATCTCGACAGCCGAACAGCCGGCAGATTACTTGACGAAAGCACTTCATTTCCCTGCGTTCGACAAGTGCTTTGCGAAAGTTGGTCAAGTAAGGCTTTCGACGAAGGGGAGCTGCGCAGAGAGTCCTCTCGACGACGAATAGGTGCCATGACCTTTTCATGGCTGGTGCGGTGATGGTGTGTGAATTGCAGATTTCTGCAATTCTTGTGCGTTTGATTTTCTGCATGATTTGTTTTGTCTTCTTTTCGTTTTTGTTCTGTGTGTGGTGTAGACGGGTCAATTTCCTCTGCGACGACCAAGCATGATCAGTGCAGGGGAGTGTTGAGATTGCACTGACCCTGCAGAGAGGGTCGTCGCGTTCTGCAGGAAGGTGTTTTTCGCCGAAGCGAGTCTGTCGCAGCGGTCGAAGCGAAGCTCTGCAGAAGATTCAAGTCTGCATAAGCGAGATTGGGGTTACGCTGCAGAAGAATTCGCATCTGCAGAAATTCGGGTCAGCAGAAGAGGGCGCGTTTGCAGAAGCGAAATTCTGCAGAGGACCAGGTCTTCTACCGGCGAACCCCTCCGACGCAAAAGTGCGATCGTTTCGTAACTTTTGCGTGGGAATTTCGGAACATTGCGGGACATTGAGAAATTGACCCCAGGGAACAGTGCGCGGAACTGGTGTGAAACTTAGAACGAGAATGTGTGTGACTAACAGGAGTGAGAGTACAAATATGAAACCCTAGAGTTCTGTACCCTCTAAGGCTAAACCCACTATAGCCTACAAAGCTACAACATGCATAATGTTTGACACACCCCCATAGGCAAAGTGGGGGAGCACAAGAGGTCACAAGACCAGTCAAGCAAAGCAAGGTACAAAGGCAATCTCAGGGTTGATCACAACGTCACCACGCAGTCTGAGCACAAGTTCAAGGCCAGAAGGCCAGTTCACATGCAAGGGTACATATATATAACGCTAAACAAGCAAGGGCAGCATGGCCTTGTTGTCTACGTACAGCACTGGAGGAGAACGAGGCGGCTCTCCCAGGTCAGTCAGCAGGTAGGTGAGCCAGCGTAGCTCCTGTGCAGCCATGGCCCCTGCGTAGATCTCAGCCTCACAGCTCGAGCCGAGAACAGAAGACGAGCGGGTAGACCGCCACGAAACAGAGCCGGAACCAAGGCTGAAGGTGTAACCCTGTGACGACCGCTGCGTAGCCTGGTCGTCGGCCCAAGAAGCGTCTGCGTGACCAGTGAGGACCACTGGACTCTGCCCTCCAAGCACAAGCCCCATGCCCGACGTACTGCACAAGTAGCGCAACACCCTCTTCGCTGCAGCCATGTGCTCTGGTCTGTGTCTCCCAGGAGCAACATAGCGTGCAAGAATGCTAAGAGGGTATGCAAGGTCAGGTCGAGTGCAGGTCATCAGGTACATGAGGCAGTCCACAAGCTCTGGGTACGGGCCACTCGACTCTACGGACTCATCCGAAGGCAGAGCTGAGAGCGAGTGGCGTGTAGCCAGAGGAGTGGCCTGAGGCAAGGAGTACGTGAAGCCGAAGCGCTGAAGGACCTGCTGCACCATGTGTGACTGAGTCAGGGTAATGGTGTGCTGTGCTCTGTCTCGGGTGATCTGCAAGCCAAGGTAGCTGCGCAGTTCACCCAGGTCTGTGCACGTGTGTCTCTTCTGCAGCTCAGACTTCACGTAGGCAAGTCCAGCAGTGTCAGCTGTAGCAAAGACCAAGCCGTCGACGTACACGAGGATGTAGAACGGCGGCAAGGAAGTGTCGGTGCGCAGAAACAGCGACGGGTCGGCAGTAGAAGGAGCAAACCCAAGAGCCGCAAGTGTCGTCCTCAGTGTGTCGTGCCACTCACGAGGCGCCTGGCGGAGACCGTAGACTGGCCGCCGGAGGCTCCACTGGGTGCCAGGAGGAAAAGTCCCAGTGAAGCCAGGTGGGCGGCGCAGCCAGATCTCCTCGTGCAGGCTGCCCTGCAGGAAAGCTGTGCTGAAGTCAAGAGAGTGCAGCTCGTAGTCTCGGTGAGCGGCTATGTGCAGCAGTACCCGAAGAGTGGTCATCTTCGGGGTGGGAGAGAAGGTCTGAAAGTAGTCAACTCCCTGCCGCTGACTGAAGCCACGAGCCACGTAACGCGCCTTGAAGACAGGCGGAGAACCCGGCGGCCGCTTCACCCTGAAAATCCACATGCCACTGACGATGTTTGCCCCAGGTGGGGGAACCTCGTCAACGTAGGTGCCTGTGGACTTCCAGGAAGCCATCTCTGCGTCCATGGCTGCCTGCCACTGAGAGGAGTAGGGACCCTCTATCGCCTCCGCGTAAGAGCGCGGAGTCGGGATGTCAAGTGCATCCGGGTCTCCCTCAGGGGCAAGCAGCATGGACACGAGATGAGGTAAAGCAGCAGCAAAGCACTGGAACTCCTCCTGCCTGTCCTCAAGGACGTCCGTGCCAAGAGCACACTCACCCCCGACGGACGAAGGACAGACAGACTCAGACTCAGCGACGAGACTGGCAGCGTAGTCTAGGCGACAGCGAGCAGCGAAGTCGACAAGCTCAGCAACGAGGGCAGACGCAGCAGTAGACTCAAAGGAAGGGTCAGTGACGACAGTAGCAAGGAGACGTGTGACAGTAGGACGCGCAGCACGAAGGGAGTCCGACTCAGGGTCAGGAAGCTCAGGAAGAGAGGACGCTGGAGGAGAGGGCAAAGGGGCACGCAGCGGAGCAGTGGAAGGACGCAGAGACATCCGGTGCGTGCCGGGGACAGGGGGAGGACGCTGACGCGAACCACGACCACTAGTGCGAGCAGCACGGACAGGCGACGCAGGGCGAGACGCAGGCTCACGACGCTCAGCAAGACCTCCAGTAGGACCAGTGTAGGGAGAAGGAGAAGGAAGTGGGGAAGGTGGCTGTAACTGTGACTCAGTCCGGACAGGAGGCGGACACGCTAAGGAGGGAGCAGGGCCAAGAGAGGACGGAAGACCAAGAACCTGCTCAAGGAGCGGAACGAAGTACGGCCGAGGCCGCGCAGCGCCACTAGTGCCAGCAGGAACAGCACCAGCACCCCCAACGGGAGCACCAGCACCAGGAGGACCCCCAGCTCCAGCAGCTCCAACTCCAGCACCCTCAGCAGCACCAGCGCCAGGAGCACCCCCAGCGCCAACACCCCCAGTAGCTCCAGCTCCAGTCGGACCACCCGAAGACGCAGCAGCTCCAGCTCCAGGAGCACCAGCAGCACCAACGCCAGCAGCACCAGCAGCACCACCAGCTCCAGCAGGAGGAGCACTCGTAGGCCCAGCAGCTCCAGTACACTCGGTACGAGCACCTCTGGGACCCTCGGCACCAGCACTCTCAGCAGCAGTAGAACCTCCAGCGCCTGCAGCACCACTAGCTCCCGCAGCACGTCGCCAGCGCCGGGCAAACCACTCACGCAGCTCCTGTGGAGAGAGCAGCTCCCGCCGGGACGAAGCACCCGAAGAACTGTCAGGCTCAGCACCACCAGACGCCAGACGAGCAGGTCCAGCACCCTCATGTCAGAATGTTATTCTCTAGCCTGTAGTGGGGTGCTCTATAGCGAGTACAACCTATCTAGGGTTTGCTATATGTATCCTCATTGCTGCTAGTGAAACCCCTCCTCTTTTGCCTAAACTTTCTCTTGCCTAGCTAGGGTTCTCCTAGCTATGGCTCCTCGTTCTGCCTGCTATCTTCACACCTCAGGCTCCGCACTCCGAGACACAGCACCCCCAGGCTCAGCACCCCCAGGCGCAGCACCCCCAGGCTCAGCACTCCCAGGCGCAGCACCCCCAGGCTCAGCACCCCCAGGCGCAGCACCCCCAGGCTCAGCACCCCCAGTCGCAGCACCCCCAGACCCAGCACCCCCAGGCTCAGCACCACCAGCAGCACCAGAGTCAACAGCTACCTCGACTGGCTCAACTGCATCTACCTGGGACACACCTGAGGGAGCAGGACCCTGAGGGGGGAGGGGGTCTACCGGAGGGGGACCTGGCGTAAGGAAGAGCGGCGGGGGAGGGAGGGACGCAGTGCGGTAGGGGAAGAGACGGTAGTAGGGAACTTACTCGTCAAAGGTGACGTCCTGGGACGCGAAGACACGGCGCGAGGTGGGGTGGTAGAACTGCCAGCCTGGCGCGTCAGGGGGAAAGCCAAGGAAGACGCAGGGAACAGCACGAGAGGACAGCTTGTCCGCAGACAAGTCGCGGACAAACGCCCTAGATCCCCAGACCCGGAAACGCGACGCATCACCAACCTTCCCCGTCCACAGCAAAGCAGGGGAGGTCTCCGGCATGGAGACCCGGGGGTGAAGGTTGAGCTGATGCGCCGCGTACCGAACCGCAAACGGCCACAGAAAATGGGGAGCAGCCGCATGGATCATGGACGTACGAGCGACGTCCATGATCATGCCGATGCGGCGCTCAGCAATCCCATTCTGCTGCGGAGAGTCCGGAAGCGTGAAGGTCTGGCGGATGCCTCGTGCGCGACAGAAGGCCCGCAGAAGGTCAGAGGAGAACTCTCCGCCTCTGTCGGAGTGCAGACGCCGAACAGGAAAGTCCGAGCCGTTACTCTCCTGGAGCTGGAGACGAGCCGCGCGGATCCAGGCGATCAACACCTCAGTGACTTCACCCTTGCTGCGCAAGGGGAAGACCGCGGTGTAACCCTAGTCGTCAACCACCAGCAGAAAGTAGCGCTCCTGACCCTGCCCACGGACGCGGGCTGGGCCCCACACGTCCATGTGAAGCGTCTGCAGCGGAGCCTCTGTCGGAGGAAACTCGGAGGAGTGAGGGGCAGCGCGCTGCCGCCCCTCAACGCAGGGAACGCAGGTGGGGGCAGGCTTCGGAGGAAGAGGAGGGAGGGACCGGGGGAGACCAGAGACAAGGAGACGGGAAGCCATGCCTCCAAGACGAGGCAGGGAGGGGTGACCAAGGCGGTGGTGCCAGAGGAGAGTCCGGTGGGACAGGAGACGACACGAGCAGGGGGCAGACTCAGGACCAGACCTGGACGCCGCAGCAAACACCTGACCCGACGCTGCTACCTGAGCAGACTCAGTGACTGGAGGAGACTCAGTAGTCAGTGTGTACAGGCTCGACCCTGGCCGACGAGCAAACGTGGCCAAGTGTCGGCCCGTGTCCGCACAAGTGCAGTGGGTCACCCGCTGACGCGCAGGGGTGAACTGGTCAACTCCTGCATCCTGGAGGTCAGCACCCGCTACCAAGTTCGTAGAGAACGAGGGGAGGTAGAGACCCGACAGGGAGCCAGACGGGACCGCCGGACACGGTAGGACAGTGGAGTAGTGAGCAAGGACAAGACCTCCAGAGGGGTCCGCCAGGGAGACTGCAACAGGCCGACTGAGCGGTGTGAGAGTGGTGCAGTCTCGAAAGAAGGAGCGGGAAGCACCCGAGTCAAGGGTGAAGGTGTGGGTGTGCGGTGACGACTCAGCACCTGAGAGCGCAAACTCACCGGCACCTGGGGCGGCAGACGCACTGGCACCTAGAGCAGCAGCCTCACAAGTACCTAGCGCAGCAGCCTCTATGCCTGGGTCAGGCGGAAAACACCGGTAACAGTCACCCTCATCACTAATAGTCACAGCATACATGGCAGCAAGAATAGCATCAAAATCAAGATCATAGATCGCAACACCCGCCCTAGACAGCTCGCCCCAGCGAGGGATCTCAGTAGCGTCGGGGAACTGGTGGCGCCACGCGTCCGTCAGACGGCCGAAGCAGCGCTGGGTGGGGTGCGCGCCCCCACACTGCTCACCCGCCCGGTCGCCGGTACGGAGAACGTAGGTACAGGGGCCAGCACCCCCGCCCCGCTGACGAGCAGCGTACCACTCACGAAGCTGCTGGGGGGAAGGGGTCTCACGGGTACGCTGCTGCTGCTGCTGCTGCTGGCGCGCACCACCACCGGAGCCACCCCTCTGCGCAGCGCCACCCCGACCAGCTCCACCGCCTCCGCCGCTACCACCTCCAGGACCGCCACCTCCGCCACCTCCGCTCCCACCGCCAGCGCCGCCTCCACCTCCACCTCCAGTCCCGCCACCGACGCCCCCACCCCCGCCACCACCCCCACCGCCACCCCCACCCCCTCCACCACCTCCACCTCCGCCTCCACCGCCCCCTCCAGCTCCTCCAGCACCCTTGCCCCCCTTGCCCTTGCCAGGGCGGCGTCTCCCGCTAGGGGCAGACGCCGCAGCGACCGACTCAAGACCAACGAGGTCGGCCGCAGCAGCAGAGGCAACAGAGGGCAAGAGGGGAGAGGGGGAGCACCCCTCAAAGACAGGGGTACGAGGGTCACCACGAGAGGCACCTACAGCGACTATGCTCTTCTCTGCCGCTAGAAGGCGCTCCTCGAGGAGGTCAACGGTGAGGGTGGTGGGGCAAACAGAGAGGAAGTGGTCCCTGACCGGGCGAAGGGTGTCAGGGAGCCGGGTGACTATGTAGTAGAGGGTGATGTACATGGGGGGGGGGGGGGGGGTTCTTGGCGCAGAACTCAGCAGGAAGCGCAGCGCGGTAGCGAGTGTCACTAGTGCGAAGGTGCGTAATGAGGTCAGCGACAGTGGGAAAAGCGGCGAGGTCAGGGAAAAGGTACGGCAGGATGAGGCGGCTAAGTGCAGCAGTGGCAGGGGAAGAGTAGCGTGCAACTACAGCGTCGTACAAGGTCTTAGCACTCTTGTACTGGCTAAAGTGCGCACGCTCAGTGGTCGGCAAGTGGCGGCGCACAGCAAGGCGGGCAGCAGCATCGCGCGTGGCCCACTGGGAGCGAACAGTGGGGTCAGCATCAGCAGCAGGGGCAGGAGAGGCACCAGAAGTGAGGTCAAAGAGGGAGAGGCCGTCTGCTCTGTCGCTCAGTAGGAAAAGCTGCAGGTCATCTACCCAGACGTCAAAGTCAATGGCCCGGCCCTCAGCGTCAAAGGTGAGGACACTGGGGGAAGCCATGACAGCAGTAGACTAGCAGTGGGAGTAGCAGGCAGGGGCAGAGCAGTGGTGGAGGCGCTGCTCTTACCGGGCAGGCGAGAAGGACCGAGGCGCGTCGGCAGGAACAGGGCCGCGACAGCAGGAACGGCGGCTCGGCGGCTCAGCGGCTCGGCAGCTCAGCGGCGGCGGCGTCTCGGCGGCTCGGCAGCACGGCGGCAGTGGCGGCTCGGCGGCCCGGCGACAACTGCAGCTCGGCGGCTCTGCTGCGGCAGCGTCTTGGCGGGTCGGCTGCTTGGCGGGGCCGCGAAGGTGTGGCGACGGGGCCGCAAAGGGCGGCGGTGGGGTCGCACGGGTGGGGCGACGGGGTCGCGGGCGGCTGCGACGACAGGGGTTGCGAGCGGCTGCGACGACAGGGGTCGCGAGCGGCTGCGACGACGGGAGCGCAGGCGGCTGCGGCGACGAGGTCGCGGGCGGCTGCGACAGCAGGGTCGCGGGCGGCAGCGACGGTAGGGTTGCGGGCGGCTGTGGCGACAGGGTCGCAGGCGGCTGCGACGCCAGGGTCACGGGCGGCCGCAGCGGTAGGGTCGCGGGCTGCCGCGGCGACGAGGTCGCGGGCGGCGCGAAGGGCGACGGGGCCGCGACGGGCGGCGTTGGGGTCGCGGGCGGCTGTAACGACGCCGCGCAGGGCGACGCGAGGGTGGGGCCGCGGGGTCGCGAGGGTAGGGCCGCGGGGCCAGCAGAGGCGGCGCCGGGGCCTAAAGGGCGGCGCGACGGGGCCGCTAAGAGAAGCGAAGGGGGAGGGGGGGGGGCGCGACTCGGGCAGGGGCCGAGCGCGCTCCGGGCAGGAAAAAAGAAGGTTACGGTGGGCCCTAGGAACAGTTCCCACGAGGGAACCTGCTCTATACCATGTGAAACTTAGAACAAGAATGTGTGTGACTAACAGGAGTGAGAGTACAAATATGAAACCCTAGAGTTCTGTACCCTCTAAGGCTAAACCCACTGTAGCCTACAAAGCTACAACATGCATAATGTTTGACAATTGGGGTGTTCAATCTGGGGCGAAACTGAACCACCTGCACAGAATGAACCTGGCGCACGTTTTCGTAACTACGAAAACGTGCGTTACAGAAGTTGTTTAAAACAACCTGAACAGCTAAAACAACTACTTTCAAGTAGGTAAAAATTACCAACTAAGCACGTGTTGTAATTTTCACCTGCCGACGCTGACTTGGCAAAGCGCAGCTAAAAGTAGTTAGTTAAACGTTCTTGTGCGAACGTTCTCTACTTGGTTCATTGGTTGGGTAGCTTCTATTTCACCCTCCTTGTTGTATTCTATTTTCATACTATTCTAGTGAATTCTCTTTGTGTGTCAACTCTGTGCCTTCAATGACTTAACCAAATTTTTCTCTTTAGTGAACAACAAAGTTTGCGTGGCTGCAGAGATAGCATTTCGTAGAGCTCCAACTCCCGTTAGAGCAGAAATCTCTGCAACACCACCCTCGACTCTTTCAGTTTTGATTGTGTTTCCCTTATGTCAGAGGGCAAGTCTGAGACTGCTCTCGGTAACCTTGCACTCGCTTTGATGTCCAATGTGTTTTACCTCAACCGTCCCCTACCTCTTTAATATTTTTCCCCAATCGCGCCACCAGGTATATTCCGAAAATCTTCGTCAACCAGCCTGGCGACGACGGAAATCGTGGCATCTGACACCTCGTGATGGGCATCTTCAACTAAGGCTTCGTCATCGAGTTTTTGAGCGTCGCCTTCAGCGTCGGCTTCATGGGCGGCGTCGGCGCCATCACCATCGCGCAGCAGCAGCTGCGCGGGCTGTTGGGGTGCACGCCGTTCACACAGAGCACGGACATCGTCACGCAGCTCACTCAGTGCACGGTCATTGTCACGCAGCAGCCCAGGTTAGAATATTTTCTGCTATTGCTGCTCACGTCCCGCGTCGCAACAAGTGTCATGATAGTAAGTCGTCACGCATCGAATGCCGCTTTCGACGTTGGTTATGTAGTGAATGTTTAAAAAACACTGATTTGTTTTTCCCTGACATGATGCCCGTTTCTTATAATGCAAGAGTGTCAATGTGTTTACCTTTTCCGCTTTCTTACCGCGCAACGTGCTCTGTCACGTATTTTTATGTGCATTGATCCCGTTTCCCCGTGTCCCTTTTCCCGTTTCCCCTTTCCTGTCACGCATCCTTTTTAGGATTTCCTGGAGCGCAACTGACAGGCTACGCGCTGAGGGTATGCACGGAAGTTGCGACGCAATGAGTACAGTTTTTTGGCCATGTCATGTTCATTTCTGGTTTTCTACAAATGCAACCCCTTCTTACGGTTGCAGCTAAGTCAGTTGCAATCGCATGACAGAGGCCGTTTATAGTCCCACCGCGATTAACTTAGCTAAGGCTAAGTATTACTGGTGTCATGCAAACTCTGCTATTACTAACCCCTCTGAAGCAATGTTAGCGGGATACGAAACAGTATGCTGTGTTTGCATGTGTTGCAGAGCGTGCCTGGTTTGGAGGCTTACTTTCAAGACGAAGTGCAGTACATATTTTTTTTCTTCACCATTACAGCATACTCCTGTACTAAGAACCCCAACGGTGAGCATTTAGTTTGGCTTTTACAGTTTCTATTTCCTTTGTTCTTCCAGGTTACGTTCGTTTTCTAACTGGCAGAGTTTGCAGGGCTTCTTAGCGGTGCATTATGCGTATCGTATTACTTTTTTTTCATTTGTATGCCTTGTAAGATCAACGTGTAAGAATATATTTTATTTAATTGCCAAAAACGCACACCAATATATTAAATTCGTCAACTGGAACCATCAAATCCCGAGCCAATAAAATTCGATTCCGCACACCCCATTACGCATCGGATTGGTCCACATGGCACGAATACGTGCGTTGATATTCTCAGGATCCGACGGTTGAAGTTAGCGTTCAGAACGTGCCACGTCAGCATGTTTCAGTTTCATCTAGCGTACATTGTATGCCACGTGGCGCTGTCGTGACACTTTCGCATAGGTTGCTGAAGGGTGACGTTTTCCACCCCCCTAGTTGCTTTACTGTATACCTCACATTTGTATCAAAGTGTACAGTTTGTGTTGGGAATGTGACGGGAAAGTCACTTCGCAAGTTACTGACGCTACCACTGTTTACGAGTCAAACTTTTTTCTTGCGCGGCGAATGCAACTGCAAAGTTACAAAAGAGCCATTTTAAAGTTTTTTCTGGCACTTCCCTTTTCCGCGATGTTTGCGGTTCCCGCTGAACCTTTTTTGCTCGGTCGACCGTCACCCCCTTGCGTCACCCCAGGCAAAACGGGAGCGTCACCCCCGATTCCGTTGAGCGAGACAGGAGAACACGGCTGCTCGTCGTCACTATGCTGTTTTTGAGAAAGCACGCGTCGTGATTGCGACAATACGGTAGTGGTCGTTTTGCAAAAACGGACGAGCCAGGCAAAATCAGTCGTACAGTAGCAGGCCTCGTTGATCCGCTATCGACATGAGCACCTATCTGTCAAATATTATAGCCTGAAGTGGGTTGGGCTATATCGGGTACAACTAGTTAGGGTGAGGTTATGTACCCCAATTCTGTCAATGCAACACATTCCGCTGTAGTTCTCATTCAGACATGGTATCAGCAGTAGGTTAGCGCTCCTAGCCCTAGGCCCGCCCGTCCCTACCATTAGGGTTACCACTGCGCCCCGCCAGCCCGCCAGCGCCCTACCCCACGCCCCAGCCGGCGCGCCCCTCCCCTCCCCGCCCTTAGCCAGCGCGCACGCCAGCCAGCCAGCGCGCCAGCCAGCCAGCGCGCCAGCCAGCCAGCGCGCTAGCCCGCCAGCCAACCAGCGCGCCAGCGCGCCGGCCAGCCTGCGCGCCAGCCCGCTTGCACGCCAGCCTGCCAGCGCGCCCGCCAGCGGGCACACCAGCGAGCCCGCCAGCTCGCCTGCCAGCGCGCCCGCCGGCGAGCTCGCCAGCGCGCCCGCCAGCGAGCCCGCCAGCGCGCCCGCCAGCACGCACGCCAGCGCGCCCGCTAGCGCGCCCGCCAGCGCTCCGCGCCAGCGGGCCCCGCCGGCGCGCACGCCAGTGCGCCGCGCCCGCCAGCGCGCGCCCTGCCTAGCCGCCCGCCAGCGCGCCGCGCCCGCCAGCGCGCGCCCCGCCAGCGCGCGCCCCGCCGCCCCGCGCCCAGCCAGAACGCGCCCCGCCTGCGCGCACCCGCCTCGCACTCACCTCCCTCTCCTCCTCCTCTCGCGGCTGGCGGCCGCTATCACTTGTTCTCGCCCCTCATGGCGACGTCTCGCGTGCTCCGTTTCGACCCTGAGGGGCGCGCGATCGACTTTAGTACCTGGCTGACGCAGGCCCAGCGCCACCTTAGGAGCCAGCGCCAGGATGGCGTGCACCTGTTTGCGCATGCGTCCGGTGCTCTGCCCGCCCCGCCGCAGCCTACACCGCTGCCCACTACCCCACCGCCTACTTCCGAGCAGGAGGCTGAGTACCAGCGCCGGTTCCTCGCTCGTGACGTGTGGGAGTCTCGTGACG